AGTATCGCAGAGGTTGATGCAAATACAAGAATACATACGATCCGCACCAATCGCCTTGAGCACACTCGCGAAAAATCTAAGAGAGACCACAAAACCCACTAACTCGTGAAGTTCATTAATATGGACTTCCTTTATGAATTATATATAAGGAATTCTTAAATCGAAGAATAACGCAGGAAAAATCAAATTCTATAACAACTGACTTGTCTTTACTAGTAGGAACTTACCATCTGATCAGTTTTCCTTTTTGCAAACTCATGACAGAACGATGCCACCAAGGAAAAGACCCAGACCTTCGGGCAGCACAACGCCACCACCTCCAACGCCACCTCCCCAGTTTGATCCCGAAATGTTCCAAGCTGCAGTAACAGCAGCCGTGGTAGCTGCAATGTCACAAATTGGCACAAATAGCACTGGTGGTGCTGGATCTGGAGCCACAAACCCTAACCACGGGAATAGTGCAGGACGCACAAGGGAATGCACTTACAAGGACTTCACAAATGGCAAACCCGATTCATTCGATGGAAGTGGGGGTGTCCTCGCATTAATTCAATGGTTCGAGAGGACCGAAGCAATCTTTGAGATTTGTGCTTGCCCCGAAGCGAGCAAAGTCAAGTACGCGACATTCACCTTCATCGGAAGAGCTCTCACTTGGTGGAACGGCAAAGTTAAGTCGCTTACGCTTGCAGTGGCTAACTCGTTAAGTTGGGAGGACTTAAAGAAGATGATGTTGAAGGAATATTGCCCAAGAGGTGAAGTGCAAAAGCTGGAGCAAGAACTATGGAATCTCAGAATGGCAGGCTCCGACCTTACAACTTACACCAACCGATTTTGTGATCTAGCACTCCTTTGTCCTGCTATGGTCACCCCGGAAGACAAAAAGTTGGAGCGTTACCTCTGGGGATTGTCCCCCGAAATTCAAGATAGCGTGCTCGCCTCAAGACCAACTACCTTCAACAGCGCCAAGGAGTTAGCACAACAACTCATTGACCATCATGCCCACCATGACACTATGACAACCACCCTTACCCAAGCAAGAGGAGGGAACAACGAAAGAAAGTTTTGGGACAACAAGAAGGACCAATCAACCCAAGGCCTCGCTAGGAAGCAACAGATCCTTGCTGTTCATGCTGCCACAACCCTCACCACACCAACTCCCATGAAACCATACGCTGGAACACTTCCAAAATGCAACAAGTGTAACTTCCATCACACTGGGGCTTGCCGAAAGATGCATTGCAAAAACTGCGACAGAGAGGGGCACACTGCTCGTTTCTGTAAGGCAGCAGCACGACCTATCAACCAGGTACCCGGCTCTGGAGCAAGCCCAACCTGTTACGAGTGTGGAGAAATGGGACACTTTAAAAGGGAATGCCCAAGGACAATAGTTCAAGCTGTTTTACCCGGCTCTGGAGCAAGCCCAACCTGCTCGTCGAGTCGTTCTTCCGGTCCGTCACACTTTTGTTTTTACTTTACGTGGTAAAACAGCTTATTGGACTCAGATCTATCAATTGTATGCATTGGATTCTAACAAAATCAAGTAAAAATCAGTTGCATGGCGGCGACTCGACGAGTCGGGTCGCGAGTCCCGAGTCCTTCAGTTTTATCAGTGTCGAGTGGACGAGGTGAGTCAGGAAGTGGACTCAGCGAGCTGAGGGTAGACTCAGTGATGGAGGGACTCGACGAGTTGTTCATACAACTCGGCGAGTCCAAGGCAATCTTCCTGGGATCAAGAACAACTCGTCGAGTCTGTTCATCCGACTCGGCGAGTCGGATGAAGATTGTCTGAGTTCTTGGATCAAGAGGGTACTCGTCGAGTCGATGCCAGACTCGACGAGTAGCAGTGAGTAAGGGGAAAAATGAGAGTAGGACTCGGCGAGTCAGCCCAAAAGGAGAGTTGACTTTGACCGAGGGTAAAAGAGTCATTTTACCCCAAGCGCAGTGTTTAGTATTTGATTGAGTGTGTTTATGGACTTGTAGCCGAGGAGATTCAGGAGCAGCCGCCGTTAGCTTCCCGAGCCACACACTCAGCAGCCAGCTTACGAGGTGAGTTTCCTTCCAGTAGGAACGGGTCTAAGGCCACAATGCCGGCCCGTTCAGTTAGCAGTAGTTTCCGGATTTAGGTCCGATGCAGTAGTTGGTATGTTCGATGCCTTCGTGGTTCGAACGAGATTTGTGTGCTATGTTTTATGTGTTAAGTACTATGTGTTCCGGGCCACGGCCCGATGTAGCATGTCGTATATGTGTTATGCTAGTTGATGTGTTATGCTATGCCACGTTCAGTCAGACAGTTCCGGACTTCGGTCCGATGCAGTTAGTTCCGGACTTCGGTCCGATGCAGGGGACAAGGTCCCAGTCAGTTCCGGACTTCGGTCCGATGCAGTTAGTTCCGGACTTCGGTCCGAGGCAGGGGACAAGGCCCAATATGTGTTTATGCGTTATTGTATGGTATGTGGTATTTTGGAGGAGCTCACTAAGCTTCGTGCTTACAATTTCAGGTACTTCCGCAAGTAAAGGGAAGAGCTCGGGGTGACAGCATCGCACACACCACAGCATAGCTTTTTATCCTGGGGATGTCTTTTGATGTTTTGGATGGATGTTGTATGATACAGTTTTCCGCACAATATTTTACTATGTTTTGGGGATACATCGCGTATGTTTTATGTTATGATACGTATATTATGGTTTAGATTATATTGAAAAAAAAAACAAAAATTTTTGGGTCGTGTTTTTGGGTCGTTTCATATTGTATATGACAAAAGCACTTCACATTGTTTCATAGTTTACCAATGTCTACAAAGATTCATGATCAACATGCATGACCATACAAAAATAGGAGCCCAAAGTAACTATTGTTTGTTACATAAATGTAGGTGTTAACACAACCATAAACGTAAGTTGCAAATTACATCGAAATACCTAACATTTAACAACACCCCCATCCTTACTTCTTTCCTCCTGTGTCTCCAATTCTTTTGTCATTAGGGCCACCTTGTCCTTTACAAGTTCGTGAATTATGCCCTTTGTTGTTGCACTTTCCACACGTGACAGTGGTCCACTTCTTGGACAGTTTATGCCCATATGTAGCAGGTTCATCATATGCCCTCTTCCTTTTCTTCTTAGGCCTACCCACCTACAAATGTACATAAGATTAAATTGTTGTTCTTCAGAAATTGTAGTTATACTGATATATGAAGACATACCTGAACAACATGTTTGGGTGGAAGCAACTTAGTTGGGCATGGTGATTTGGGCCACATCAATCTACCATTTATAGGTTCAATTTTATGTTTGTACACTTCTACCCATATAACTAGCGAGTAGCATGGATGAACCCAATGCTCCAACTCAGGAACATTCTTTGCTCCATGTTTAATCTTGTCCCATATTGAACTTATTGCATGTGAGCATAACATGCCTCTAATTTCCCACTATCTACATGTGCATGTTTTTTCATCCAAATTCACAATAAACTGATCACCCCAATAAGTAGTGACTTGAGTTTTAACCTCATTGAAAGTACACTTGTGCTTATGTGCTTGTCTTTTCATTTGATCAAGAAGAGTAGTGGCAGTTGGTGTCAGAGGACCATGAGATTTATCAATCTCTCTTTGGACATTGCAAATTCTCTTCATCAAATAGTCTATAATATACTTCAAATAATAAATGATAGGTTTATCCCTACCACCTTGTATTTTTCCATTTAAAACCTCACACAGGTTATTCAACAAGATGTTAGTATGTGCCCTCCCTGTTTAGTGATATAATACAAAATGAGCACAGAATCTAACATTAACAAGTAAATGTAAACATCATTGAAAGATGATGTGCTAACCTGAGAAATGAGATCTTGCCCAATGAGCTGGAGGAATTTGTATCAGCAAATCATGAGCTTCAGCATTGAATTTTTTATCTCTTCTAATGCTTTCTCATAATTCCTTACAGTAGTAGCAATTTCTCACTCCCACACCAAATCTTTGAGCTCTTTATCCTTCCACTGTCTTTTCATATTATCATATATATGCCTCAAACAGAACCTATGCTCAGCTTAAGGGTAAAGTTTGGCAATTGCAAGAATGATACCCTATTTAAATATTTCAATAGTTAGTTGACTAAGGGGCTGTTTGGTAGGATCTGAATTTTTAAGATCTGAATTTTTAAGAGGTCTGAATTTCTAAGAGGGTCTGAAACTTTAAGTTCTGAATTTCTAATATGCTGTTTGGTTGGAACCTCTGAATTGCTATGTTGAATTATAAAATGACCATTTTACCCTTCAGTGTTATTTTTTTGTGGAATTCAATGTTTCAATTTATAATAACCAAACAAACTTCTTGAGAATTATAAAAAAAAAAGTATAAACATAATACAAAATCCAAATTAAAAAAAAATATCAAACCAAAATAAATATTTGACAAATCAAATCAAACAATGCTCCAATATAAAGAGGTGAAAGTATGAAAACAACTTGAACTTTATGCTTATTACATGTACACAACCCCATTCATTTACACATCTTGATAGACAAGTATACTACCCTTATCTAAGATAACACAAAGAAAAACTATAAATGAATCACAAAATTGAAACCATTCCATTCATTCTTTGTGTTCCAAATCAGTGATATGTGGTTAGCTACTGGTGAACCTTTCTTGTCCAGCAGTATCCCATTGCATAAACATGGTACATTCAACATTTGTTTCATACAAATATACTCTTATATATATTTTCAGAAGAGACAGAAAGGAACATACAATCAGTTTCATCCAAATTTCTAATTGCTCAAGGTCAAACATCAATTCCTAAAGTTCTAATTGCTCAAATGAGAGACAGAAAAGGAACAATTTTGGCAAAAAAAAATACGTCACAACCTTCATCCACCATCATCCTGACCATCAAAAATCAGCTTTAAATCAAGAAATTTGGAATGAAGCTATGTTTCACCATCAATTCAAACACATCATAGAAAACCCAAAACATGAAAACAATTCGATTTCACAAATCTAGAGTGATTTTAGCAACTTCGTACCCGACCATTGAAGGAGATCGGAGACCGTATGGTGGAGCCCATCGTCGTTGAGGGCGGAACCATCGCTGGCAAGAGCAGCGCTTTCGAGGTTGGAACCAGCGATGCCGGAGCTTGCCGTCGGAGGTCGTAGTTCGGCGGTGGGAGTCGATTTCATGGAGGTGGGATTCATATCAGAAGCCGTGCGAAACTTGTGGGTGTACGAGATCGGCGATGGGGCAGCAGCGTTGTGTGATTCTATGATGGGAAGGGGTGTTCGATGATGGGAGGAGGTTGTTGGCGTTGGAGTTATCGGAGGTGGGAGGAGACATGAGAGGATATTGTTAAAGTGGGCATTGGAAGCGTTCGTTCATACAAGGGTAGTACAGGGAGGATGCGTATTTTTTTTTATTCAGATACAAGTTTAGGTCTGAAAATTTAAGAGGATTTAGAGAAATTAAGAGCCTTTTATTCATAGGCTATCAAATGCTCTACATCTGAAATATTAAGAGGTTGCCTCTTAATTTTTCAATTAAGAGGCTACCAAACAGCCCCCTAAATAACAACAATATAAAATTAACTTGAAGTATATGTACCTTCTGCCTATCTGAGATGTAAGTGAAGTTTTCATTAGCATAAAGTTCTAGATCATCACCAAGTTGTTTAAAAACCAAGTCCATGAATCTATGGTTTCATTTTCAACAAGTGCATATGCAAGAGGATATATCCTATTATTGGAATCTACCCCTACAACAGTCAAAATTTGACCAGGATAGGGACCTTTCATGACAGTACCATCCAACCCTATGAAATCCCTTAGATTAGCCTTAAATCCTTCCTCCAATGCTCCTAAACAAATGTAAATTCTCCTAAACGTCCTTGTATCGGAATTTATATTTGGCTCAGTGTGACAATCGATCTTGACATTAGTACATGGGTTTCTTTCCATCAACTCTAGTCCATAGTCCCTTAAGATAGCATATTGTTTCTGAAAATTCCCAAAATCATGCTTTTGAGCCAATGCCTTTGCCCGATGTACCTTCATTCTTGACATGTTCATCTCGAATTTCTGGATTATATCTTCTTGAAGTGCATTGACTGAAATGGTTGGATTACTCTCAATTTGCTTCACAATATTTGTTACAGTGAATTTTTAGTTGCAAGCTTTAATGGTTCTTGATTGCACACACCGATGTTCATTAACTAGGGTGTTCACCACCCAATCATCTATCTCTTTAGGTCTAGACACTAGTACAACCCAAGGACATTTATCCTCTTTCATATTTACTGTTTTGTCCTTGAATCCAATCCTTGACTTTGTCCATGGCCCACCACTCATATCTGGGACCACTCCTCTACACTTAGCCCTTATCCTTGTTTTGTCATTTTTTTTATCCCTTTTGGTTTCTACTGCATGTTTGTTTATATAGTCATTCACATTTTTCTTTGTTTTGAACTTCTGTCCCAATGTGAAATCCTTTAGATGAACTACACCTCGGAACAAGCTTTTACTTTTCCTATATCTCTCAACATCCTCTCTCTCTCTCTATTGTTATCTTCACTTACAATAGGCGAATCAAACGATTATGGGTCTATGACCTCCAAATCTTCACCTTCAGTAAAGTCAACACCACTACCACTTGCCTATTTGGTCGTTTTTTTGAACCAACTCAACATCTTCATCAACATGTATATGAAAATCTTTCATATCAACATCTACATCATCTATAATATTTTCTAAATCCATAAAGAAGTCTTCATCCTCACTCTCATCATTTGTCCTATTACCCTTACTCCTACTATCCTCACTCCAAGCACCCTCACTAACACTTTCCTTACTTTCACTGTATTCATCCTCAAAAAATTCAACATCGTGTAGATTTTTTGGCCCACCATATTCTGCGTCTACATCCCTCATTACCTCATAATCATCCACTGGATCAACATCCCCTTTTGGTTGGTGATCATCCCCTGTGTTAATAACTCTTTTACCTTGTTTATCCTCAAACCGTACCCCCCCCCCTAAAGGGATCACTCTCTCGATCAACTGACTGTTTTTTTAATGATAACAGGTTCATAGGGTACAATTAACTTTGACAAATCAGTGGGCTCATTTAAGTCTAACTTTTTACTACATGACCCAACTGATTTCCTTTTCATTCTAACCCTATCCATTTCAGGAGAATGATCCCCATGAACTTCCTCAATACGAACCTTCAATGGGGACTTAAAGTAAGGGACTACTCTAGTCTTCCCATGCTCAATGCACAAATTAATTTCCTTATGATTAGGCACATACCTTGCCACCTGAATGACTTCCAGATCGGTGCCAAGGGGTAACAATCCACTATCCAAGTCTGTCTTTGGGATCATGAAATGGTAAAACATTATACCTCCATCATTGTACCCTAAACTGCCATCATATCATCTAACTCGTGGAGTAAAAACACATCTATGTCCACAAAATCAAAATAATCCACAAGCCCATCTATGTACGACCTTCCACATATCGTATTTGTGAACGAACCCCCATAATTTATCTTGAATGTGCAAAAGCTTGAAATAGAACTTGAGACGAAAATTCAAGAACAAAATGTTACTGATTGAGGATAGCAAAATTACACATGTACAACATTTTGTTAAACCTAGCATTACAAGGTCTGTCCTTACCATATTCTTTACGTAGCTCAGGTGGTTAGGTGTAATGTGGATGTAACGACCACAAGTGAGTACCATTTTCCTTGACACACCCTTGATTCAGTTCAACTATGTTGTCAGATGACGATAAGAACTCGCGATTGAATAAGAAGGGATGATCAAAATGTTTTCTTGGGGAAAGAGATAGAGTGTTAAAGTCAATGCCTGAAACAATACCTCGACACCTTAATGGTTAAAGTTGTTAAGTTGAATGTTTAGAAAAGGTCATTTAGGGTAAAATGACATAAATACCCTCATGTACAAGTCACATGGGGGCAACTTAACGTTGGAATGGACGGACATCCCACTCGGGGACCAAACGCTGCAACTTATCGTTCGTAGGTACTATTTGAGGGAAAAAAGTATCGTGGGGACTATATTAGGGAAAAAACCAAAACCTAAATGACCATCCGCGTAATTTGTTCTTTAGTTTATTTTAATTGAATGTTGTACGATTTATAGCAACGTACTTTCAGTGGGTTTAAACCAAAAAATAATAATAATAATAATAATAATAATAATAATAATAATAATAATAATAATAAAAAATAAAAAATAAAAAATCTATGAACCTACAAACCAATGATTTAAAACAAAAAACCCATAAACCCAAACAAAAAAACAAAATAAAATGAAAAACCAACTCATATAGTAAAATCAACTCATACTCATCTTTGCCTTTATCATGAAATTTGACATACATATACATTACATACAACAATACAAATTTATAGAAAAATGTATATCCAAATAATAATAATAATAATAATAATAATAATAATAATAACCAAAAAAAGGTTCAAATCCAATTAATCCTATTAGAGGTGGAAGATGAAGTTCATATTTAAAGCGGCCCATCCCCTTCGGATACATTACACCAAAATGACATTTATATCCTTGTCACATGATCTTTACCACAAGCAATATATGAGGTGTCGAAGTTAGAAGATGGACTTAGGAGCCCCCCACCCAGAAGTTAAATGTTTCCACTGCATACTCATGAACACAACAGTGCCACATCATGATCACCATAACCTCTGAAAAAAACACAAGATCCTCCATTTCATTCATATAGGCCAAGATTTCAAATTCAACCCCATAACAAAACAAACATGGCTTTGAAACCTAATCCCACCACTGTTTCATTAACACCTGCAAAAATAGCGACAGAAACTCCCGTCAAGATTGGCACAAAAGGAACCGTTGGATCTCTCATGATGAAAGAACTCGAGTATTTCAACATGCTTGAGGTTAAAGTACACTCTCGAAAGCATAGCTTACAAGTAGCGGAAGCAGCTACAACTTCGGGTGAACAAGATTCAGCGACTAAAACCCCGAAAAGCAAGAAAAGAGGCAACAAATTTGTTCCAAAATTCTGTTCTGTGATCGATGTAGCAGATATCAATGGACCTAAAATGATCTCGGGGTTTAATTACAAGACTCTGAAAGCCGATGTTCGTAAATTACAGGTTTAGTTTTTTGCAAAAATGTCGGCGTGTTTTTCATTGATATTGTTGTGTTGCTTCATCTACTTGTACTATTTTCTTCCAGTTTTGTACCATAAATAGCAATAAAAAAAATTACTACATGTATTCAATATAACAAATAATCACGGATGTGGCTCAATCAAGATTAGAAAATTGTATGTTTTTTTTTTTTTTTTTTTTTTTCAAGATTAAGACTAGATGAGTTCACAGAGGATTAAATTCAAACTTCGTTACTGTTTTCTGAAAAATTATTGGTAGAGATTCCACCTAATTTGAAGATGAATTAGTCTAATTCAAACCTCGATCACAGGCGTTGAATATTAGTGAAGTCAACAGTTATTGACTAATCAATTGATCAACTGAAAAAGTAATTAAATACCCACAAGAACGTTTAAATCCTAATGAACATTGTTGAAATCAAATGTTAATTTAGAATACAAAGAACAAGTACCGAAGAAACTGTTTTTTAAGCTACTGTAAGAATCTTTATGTTTTTATGGATGATTCAAGGGCTTTGTAGCGGTGTGTATTGGAAGAAGACAAGACAATATCCAGACACCAATTCACATACGCACATACGTTGGAAAAGGAAACTAGCAAGCACAGATTCAGAATTACCAGCAAAAAACTGAGAAATAGTACAATCCAATATTATTATTAACTATAAAAAAAATAATAAAAAAAAAAGTCAAAACTATCATTAATTATATATATATTTTTTTAAATAATACATTTTAAACCGATAAAAATAATTCAATAATTAAGCAAAGTGTCTACATAGTAAAATGAAATGTGTTTAACCAATCATATTTTTAAACCAATTAAAAAATTACAACTGAATTTCATATTAATATATATATATATATATTTTGTATTGATACTTATTGTATTTTAGAGTTTAATTAGCCCATTAGTTTAGATTAGTCTATTGGCTTTTGAACCCATTGTAAATTGTATACCGCATTAGTTTAATGAAACCGGACATGGAAAAGTATATGTCAAACATGGTATCTGATATCTTCTCTTGATCTTGGTCACCCTATTTTTTTTGTCGGCCCTACCCTTTTAATCTCTTTCCCTCACTCAACGACACCCCTTCTGCCGATCGACTATTTTTTTCCTCTATTTTCTTCTCTCGATCTCTCTGTTGTGACTTCTTCGGCCATGGGAAATCAAAACCCTTTTGGTATTACTAATATCAAAACTTATGTTCCCCTGATTCTCAACATGAATGAGCTCAACTATGACCTTGGTGCCATTTATTTACAACATTACAAAGTTGTTGGAGTGTACGACATTCTCACAGGTACCACCAAACCAACTAGCCCTACTGATACATAATATGAGCATCTAGATAATATTGGTAATATGTGGCTCTACTTATAGGAATGATGTCTAGGTTGGATGTAGTGATGTGTTGAAAGTGAGATTTTCAAACAGTATACTTTGTATACCAAACGGATCCTACCTCCGATATGATCCTATATGGTTATTCCTTATTTAGATCTTGAAGTAGACTTTGGGATTATTGAGAAATATAAACCTTTAGGATAATAGTTCCATGAAATTAGACTAAGACTTAGCATTATGTAATCCAGGTCTTTGGAAAAAGGTGTAAGGCGAAGCTATGCCCAATTCACCAATTTGGTGACACTTGTTCAAGTGCGTGCATAGTCCTTTTCATGAACATGATTTAATACAAGTATAATTAAAGTAGTAAATATTTGTTGGAAGTCGTACGTTAATTATAAGCTTATTGCCTGGATTATATGTTAATATATGTATATATTGTGTTATATGTGCACCAGATATGGTTCTATTTTATGTTAGGATAAACAGATAATATTATATAATAATATTCAAGGTAAATTTTGTTGAGAAAATAAATGATTAATAATACCTAATACTCTGATGGAATATATATATATATATATATATATATATATATATATATATATATATATATATATATATATATATATATATATATGTACACTAAGATAGGTTCGTGTCGCCCAAGAATAGAGTTGGATTAAAAAGTTTGTTTCAGACACTATAATCTAATCTAGGGATAAACTTAGGCTAATGGAAGATATCTAGTTAATATTAGGTAGTCTCACTAGGAGAATGTGCGTAACCTAGGAACGGAGAATAAAGTTCTATTCCATAACACTATCAGATGTCGATGTACGGTAGTTCCATACGGGATGACCAAAAATTGGTGGATCCCAGTCAGGAAACTATTAGCGGTATGTGTTAGGCGTGTCAAACCCAACAAATAAAGGGGTACGATATATTCCAAAAGAATCCTACTATATTACACTAAAAGGTAGTACAAGGCAAGCAGGATCGATCCACAGAGACACGGGATAATTAGTCTATACCTCTTTGCACAAGGTACTATGGTCACCAACAGTAAAGAGGGGGGTTTAGAATGAAATAATTAAAACAAACAATTAAAAACACCAGTAATCAATAAAAAGGGTGAATTAAATTCATAAATGGTAAGGACTCCAACCTCATGTATGACAACTTAGCAATGTGATTCCAAGATAACATGATATTTGCTCAATTCTATCTAAGTTGGTACTTGAAAGTGTTAACAAGCTCTTTGATTAACCCTAACCTTACTAACCTAATCTAAACACACTCTTAGAATTAGATTGAAAGATTGCATTAAACTTTATGTGAATGTTCCCAACAACATCCAATACTCCTCACAAGCTCGGGAGCGTAAGAATGTGTGAAAAGATTTACACTAAATTCATTCATAAGAAATCAATTTAATGTTTGTTACTTGTTCAATTTCACAAAACAATTACGGATTTTGTAAAAGAGATAACTTGAATGGCCTAACCCTAATTCAAATGACCAATAAGAATCACAATTAGAATCAAACATTCGATTGAAGCAAAATCAAATTTATTAGATAGAAATTAAGAACAAACATCATGTCATATGATTGAAGTCACTACCAAGAAGTCAAGACATGAAGTTAGAGAAACTAGGGTTCTAGCCACACATGGCTAAAACAAGATCACAAGAATAAAATATGGAAATAATGTGCAATTACAACTTACAAATAAGAGAAATAATGTTTCCAAATGATAAATGATCAAATTCTTGCAAAAACCTTCGAAATCCCCTCTCAAAATGTGCTCTGATATGTTGTGTGTGTGTAAAAATAGC